TGTGTAGCGATTGGAGATGTCTCGATGCCACGTTAAGATGTTACAGTAAATGCCAGTATTTTTATTAGTTACTGTAGTAGGGCATCCGGCATTCAGTACAGACACTTGAGGGAATCCCCTTCAGGGTAGCTGTGATCCTGGAGATAAAAGGACAAAACGTTTATACATTTCAAATGTTAATAGTTCTCTTTAATTCCCCTCTCCGTGGGTTGACTTAAATCAATTATAGATTTAAACTCATTTTAATTGAAAAGTGTGGCATCGATACACACGTTCATTTCAAAACTTTGAAACGTGAGTGCCACCTTCTGCCCACGGATATAATTGACACTTCTGGACCCATCCATTTCCCAGCAATTTATTGTGGAGGACTGTTGGTTGGCCCAGGACACTGGGGAAACTCCCTGCTTTGTTTTTTGAAATAGTGCCGTGGGATCTTTCACATCCACCTGAACAGGCAGACGGGACCTCGGTTTAACGCATCATCCGAAAAAAGGATGATGAGATTGGACCTGAACGCAGCTGATGTCGACCCCACATTGAATCATGTCATGAACCACTAGGCATCATATGACACACTCACTGCCCCTCCTCCCAACCCCCACCTTCACCCATCCACCGCCCCCCCCCACACACACACCCACATACACACATGCCACGACGCGTCATTACGCACATACACAACACACACAACACATACATAGCAGTGTTTTGACATGTCAGCCCTCGCCCTGCCCAGGGTTTGTGTGTTAACAAAAAAAAAGATTCTCTGAGTCTCAAAGAAAAAAAAAGGTGTGTGTGTGTGTGGGGGGGGAGAGAGAGTGGGGGGGGGGAGTGTGGGGTGTGGGGGGGAATGGCTGTGTTTAGGATCTATTACAAGATCGACTTGACATCATTAATCAGAGCAGCAGCACTGGGGTCAGATCTGATGTAATGTGTGGTTTCCGTGTTACACATCACTGTACACACACACATTAGTGTTAAAACGAAACGAAATGACACTCCTCACTTAACAGATCCCCCACACCCCTCCCCCCCCCCACACACCCTCCCCCCCCACACACCCTCCCCCCCCCCCCCCCCCACACCCCTCCCCCCACACCCCCTCCCCCCCCACACCCTCCCCCCCCCCACACACACACCCTCTCCTGACATATCATATCATACGACTGTGTGTGTGTGTTGTGTGTTATTATACTGAAGGGAGAGGGAGGAAGGCTTCCAAATACTGCACAAGGAACGTTACAGGGAGGAGGGGGAGGAGGAGGAGGGATGGAATTGCTCTCTTTTCCCCTTCTCTCTCCCCCCCCCTCACCCCCACCCCCCACCCAAAAAAAACCAACCAACCAAACAACACGCAGATTGCCATCACCTGCAGCAGAAAACTTAACATTCAGAGTGTGCATCGCCTGTGGAGTTAATAAACCACACACACACACAGAGAGAGAGAGAGAGAGGGAGTATTTAAGAGAAAAATGATTCAGATCTGAAAGAAAGAGTGTAAAGGAGGGAGGGGGGGGGTGTGGTGGAGGGGAGGGAGGGAGGGAGGGGGGGTGTGGTGGAGGGATAACGATGAGAATCTCTCTCTTTTAACAACACACACAGATATATATATATATATTACACACACACAAAAAAAAACACCCAAGACAAGAGCACAGTGCAATGAACGTCTCTCTCTCTCTCTATATATATATATACACCCATCCATCCATCCGCATTGGTCAGACAGAGAGGGAGACAGACACACAGACACAGACAGACACACAGACAGAGAGGGAGACAGACACACAGACAGACAGAGACACACAGACAGACAGAGAGGGAGACAGACAGACACACAGACAGACAGGGAGGGAGGGAGACAGACAGACAGACAGGGAGACAGACAGACAGACAGGGAGACAGACAGACAGAGAGGGAGACAGACAGACAGAGAGGGAGACAGACAGACAGACAGGGAGACAGACAGACAGAGAGGGAGACAGACAGACAGAGAGGGAGACAGACAGACACACAGACAGACAGGGAGACAGACAGAGAGGGAGACAGACAGACAGAGAGGGAGGGAGACAGACAGGGAGGGAGACAGGGAGGGAGACAGACAGGGAGACAGACAGACAGACAGAGAGGGAGACAGACAGACAGGGAGACAGAGAGGGAGACAGACAGACATGCTGGTGACATCCATGCGCTCCTCACCACGTGTTTTCTGTTGTTGAGCCTGCCACTCCAGGAACCTCGCCGCCTCCAGAAGGGTTTCGATACTCATACTGTGTGTCAGCAATCACTCCAACTCCAGGGCGCTCTCTCTCTCTCTCTCTCTCTCTCCTTCCCTCTCCCTCCCTCCCTCTCTCTCTCTTTTTCCTTCTTGTGTTTTTTTTTAGAATTGGGAGGGGAGAGAGAGAGAGAGAGAGAGAAAAGGATGGATGGATGGAATGAGAGTCACAGGGTGGGTGGGGAGAGAGAGAGAGAGAGAGAGAGGGAGGGGGGAGAGGAGGGAAGTGGTTGGAAAGGGAGAGAGAGAGAGAGAGAGGGAGGGGGGAGAGGAGGGAAGTGGTTGGAAAGGGAGAGAGAGAGAGAGAGGGAGGGGGGAGAGGAGGGAAGTGGTTGGAAAGGGAGAGAGAGAGAGAGAGGGAGGATTTGGTTGGTTGTCGTTTAACCCTTTAATTTTGTTTTGTGTAGTAGTAAGTAAAGCCACTTGCACTTTGCAGGTCAGATAGATCCGGATTAAACACACAACCAAAGCAGAAATCCACCTCTATAAATAAATACCTCTCTCTCTCTCTCTCTCTCTATCTATATATATAATTGTTTTTAAAGATCTCCCCCAACAGAAAAAGGCCAGGATTTTTTTCCAGAGAGGGAGAGAGAGAGAGAGAAGGGGGGGAAAGGGGGTAAAAAAAGCTCAAGATGGCGTAGACACCCCCACCCCCAAAAAAAAACCCTCCCCCCCCCAGTAATCACAAGAGAGCAACACTGTCCTGTCCGCCCGAACAGCTCAAGTGAAAGCACGACCCAGATTCTGTAATGAACTACAGAGAGAGAGAGAGAGATAGAGGGAGGGGGGAGAGAGAGAGAGGGAGGGAGGGGAGAGAGAGAGGGAGAGAGGGAGGGGGGAGAGAGAGGGATAGAGGGAGGGGGGAGAGAGAGAGAGGGATAGAGGGAGGGAGAGAGAGAGAAGGAGAGGGAGGGGGGAGAGAGAGGGATAGAGGGAGGGGGAGAGAGAGAGAGGGATAGAGGGAGGGGGAGAGAGAGAGAGGGATAGAGGGAGGGGGGAGAGAGAGGGAGAGAGGGAGGGGGAGAGAGAGAGAGGGATAGAGGGAGGGGGGAGAGAGAGAGAGGGATAGAGGGAGGGAGAGAGAGAGAGGGAGAGAGGGAGGGGGGAGAGAGAGAGAGAGAGGGAGGGGGGGAGGAGAGAGGGAGAGGGAGGGGGGAGAGATAGAGAGAGGGATAGAGGGAGGGGGAGAGAGAGAGAGAGGAGGAGAGAGAGAAGAGAGAGAGGAGGGGGGGAGGAGATGAGGGGGAGAGGGGGAGGGGGGGAGAGAGAGAGATAGAGGAGAAGAAGAGGGGGGAGAGGAAGAGGTAGGGAGGGGGGGAGAGAGAGGATAAGGGAGGGGGGAGAGAGAGAGAGAGAGAGGGGGGAGAGAGAAGGGAGGGAGAGAGAGAGAGGGAGGGGGGGGGAGGAGGGGGAGAGAGGGGGAGAGAGAGATAGACGAGGGAAGAGAGGGGAGGATATGTGTAGCGATTGGAGATGTCTCGATGCCACGTTAAGATGTTACAGTAAATGCCAGTATTTTTATTAGTTACTGTAGTAGGGCATCCGGCATTCAGTACAGACACTTGAGGGAATCCCCTTCAGGGTAGCTGTGATCCTGGAGATAAAAGGACAAAACGTTTATACATTTCAAATGTTAATAGTTCTCTTTAATTCCCCTCTCCGTGGGTTGACTTAAATCAATTATAGATTTAAACTCATTTTAATTGAAAAGTGTGGCATCGATACACACGTTCATTTCAAAACTTTGAAACGTGAGTGCCACCTTCTGCCCACGGATATAATTGACACTTCTGGACCCATCCATTTCCCAGCAATTTATTGTGGAGGACTGTTGGTTGGCCCAGGACACTGGGGAAACTCCCTGCTTTTTTTTTTGAAATAGTGCCGTGGGATCTTTCACATCCACCTGAACAGGCAGACGGGACCTCGGTTTAACGCATCATCCGAAAAAAGGATGATGAGATTGGACCTGAACGCAGCTGATGTCGACAGCGTGTACCAGGAAGTGGAAACAAACCTTGTGTCTCAGCACTGACATTGTTCTGCTTAATACCGGAAAAATTATTAATAAGAAACATAAATGGGAAAGGGGGGTGGGAGAGGGTGAGAGAGATGGTAAGCAGCAGCCTATTTGAGCAGGGCTGGATTTATGCCATATGCTGTGTCTTGATCCGCTGAGCTCGGTAAAATCAGTGGGTTCTTGCAAAAAAAATATTAACTACTCACAGGGAGTGGAAATAGAACCTCAAGACTAAAGCTTAGTCACCACAAAGAGATGACCTGGAGTTTGTTCCCTGTCTTGGCTGCTGCGGACGCAGGGAGATCTTAATAAGTGACTCAGCGATGCCGTAATTTAGAGGAACATCCTTAACAGTGTCACCAAAGGACTTAAATAAGGTTTTTCTCGTTTTGCTGGAGGGATTAATCATCCCGTGTGTCATTTGAAGAGGACTTATACTTTGCCGACGTAAACATCTTGGGCAGTACAATAACACGCCTTTGTGAGCCAGCAGCAGAATGGGTCATACATCATGCGGATGAGCTAATGACTGGAATTAAGTGCGAGTTTGTGTGTATATACACATACAAATTGCAGTGTGATACAACACATTTTGTTTTTTCTGTTCTCTCCATCCCTCTCAGGTCCTGACGCTGACTTCTTGCTGCAATACAGATGCGCAGGCACCACCTGCTCTCTGGTAATAGCTCATCCAAGTTGCTGTACTTCACATGGAAGCAAAGATTGCAGAAGGGAGGTTCTCCAGGGTGAAACAATCCCCCACTTTGTGGCTGTTTGTAGGGCATTGCTGTGCTCAAAGTGGCTGCTGTGTATTCCCTATAAAATAGTCACTACTGTAGGCAAATGCTGACAAAATCCTGTGAAGGATTTTGAGATGTTCTCCCGACATGAAAGGCAAAATCAAAGGTAAGGATTATCATCTTAACACAGTGATTTTCGGCAGGTAATGCCAATATGGGAGCATTACCCAAGAGCCCAGTTCTTCCTCATCTCATGTCCAAATGTACCCATTTCCCAGCAGGGATGAACAGAAAATAGAAATTAAAACTTTTGCCTAACCCAAATCCACTGAGGTCACTTGCAACATCCAATTTTGACTCTCTGGTTGAGATCAATGAATTCAACAGAGATAAGGATGAACCTGGAACCTTCCACATGTATAGCACATTCTGTGCTGGGTTTTGTTGAAGCCACTTAATGCTTAAATGGTCTGTCCTGCTGAAACCTTTAATACAAGTGTTTGTGGTTCCACAACTGTTTGTGGGACGCTGCTGTGCGCAATTGCCTGCTGCGTTTCACCCACAAAATACACAAGTCAATTCACTTGACAGTATATTCTGTGAAGCGCTTTGAGGTGTCTCAATGACGTGATAAGCCGCTAAACCAAGTGCAAAGATTATTATTATTATTATTAAATACTCGTGCTTTCAGTTTGTAAACTAAAGTTAATTGTTAAAATGTTAAGCGGAGCAGTATAAACAAAGGAAAGCAGGCAGACAGCCTGAATGGAAAAACTTAGTCAATCATCGTGCTTCTGGGTGATTGCTGGCAATTCAGACCAAGATTGTATGAACAATGCAAGAATAAGGCGGAGCACTACAGTTTTTCTATGTGTAGAATAATGTTTCAACATTTAAGGTGATTTGAAGTGTTTGTGGATTGATGCGACGTTTTTAAGTGTAAATGATTTTGCGGAGGTGAGAGGCGGCAGGAGTGTGGGAAGCATGGTCATAGAATGCGTCGAGTGGCACTCCACCAAAAAGCCACGTTATTAACTCTGTGCTGGAGGGCACCGTCACTGTGTAAACTGCAGCACAGCCTCATTGCTTCACTGATTCGTTGCGTTTTATAACTGGCCTCAGAGAGCTCACTTCAGCGTTCTTAAATATTTAAAAAGACGGCAGTAACTAAATCCATTGTTACGACACTGCTTGTGTGTTTCGTCAAAACTATGCTTGAATACTGCCACTGAACGCTAATTCATTGTTAAGCTGTTCCCAGTGCTACACATTAACATAGAGATATTGTCTGATCAAATTGTTTTTTTAAACCACAAATGGTTGGTGGTTATCGAGCAAATTCCGCTCTCTCTGTATCTGTGGTATGCGGATGTGTGTGCGTGTAAGGAGTACAAGATTGTACCTCTTTCTTCTTTCCCCCAGACAAATGGTGGAACATGTCTCTGGTCTGTGCCCTACAACCAACGCTGATAGAGAATGTCTGAATTATAGTAATCCTTGCATTTGATATAGCACCTTATCATGTCATCGAGACGTCTCAAAGCGCACAGCAATGTCCCACAAACAGCTACGAAGTGATTTCACCCTGGGATACTGGGAGAGAGAAACTCCCTTTTTTTTCCAAATAGTGCAATGGATATTTAACATCCACCCGAACAGGCAGACGGGATCTAGGTTTAACGTCTCATCCGAAGGACGGATCAATAGGTGATGTGAACAGGAGCTTAATAATGGGAACAGTCTGGGAACAGGAGATTGTCTTACTACCTACACCACATAATAAATCCCTCTAGGCACCATGTAGATAAAGTCCCTGTAATTAGAGGAGTTAGGATTGCTATCCTGCTCAATATAACCAGGATTTTAATTGTAGTCTATGTGGTTACAGGAAAATTAAAATACTCATGCTGTAATACCAATGGCATCAAAACACATTTATAGTTGCTGTAATACTGGGTTCTCTGCTGTGAAAGGACTACTTCAGTATTTCACTAACATGCAGTGTTTCTTATAAAAAATGGCTTCTTGCCCGATTTTGCACAACTTAAAATCAAGCAAGCAGTGATTTTCTGACTAGCACTGCAAAAATCAGACCAATTTAGGCAGTGCTTACAATGATTGAGCATTTTTTTTTAGAAAAAAGAAAAAGCGATAAAGCAGACTGTGTCTACCAGTTAAATCCAGTGGTGGGCTCCTGCTGTTTAGGGGCCTCCATAAACAGTAATTGAGGATAAAGACCTGTGTAGCATTCACAGATACATGCCCCTTGGTGGCTTGCAGTAGAAGTGCAGGCAACCAGGTCACAGGCACCTGCCAAAGGAACACTCCGGCTAACTGATGAGGGCTGCACACCAGGAAGGAGTGGGAAAAGGGTGACGTTTAAAAAAATAAAATAAAAATGTGGTCACTCAATCCAAGACTGTTTGTGGGACACCGCTGTGTGCAATTGGCTGCCGAGTTTCGTCCACAAAATGTACAGTCGATATACTTTACAGCGTATTCTGTGAAGCGCTTTCGAGACGTCTCGAAGACGTGATGAGGTGCTACATCAAATGCAAGGATTATTATTATTGCACTTTGCCTGCCTCGAGTTGAGACTGGACACACAGCCTTGTGAGAGACAGAACTCCAGTCACTTGCTGCTGCGGACAATACTCTATGAACAGTCATCGCAGCCAAGATGCTATGCTTTTCCCAGGGTCTGGCACCTCGGATTTGGATGCTCAGACTTTAACAAATACAATAACAACCTGTACTTACATACAGAGCTTCTCCGTGTAGGGTGCATGTTCAGAAGCATTGGGGAGAAGAGGAAAGATAATTTGAGGAAGCGGACCAAAAGCATGGTCACACAAAGATTCATAAAGAGCGTTTTGAAGCCAGAGAGGAAAGCTATTCAAACCACTTGAAGGTGAGGACAGAAAATTATTTTCCATAGAGATAAAAGGTAAAAAAAGACACAATGCTGGAAATCCGAAATAAAACAGAAAATGTTCTTAAAGTAGGAGACCAATCGGATGCTGAAAGGGGAAGACAGTTCAGTGTTTTTCCACCAGAATAACTGCTGTCGACCACAATAAAAAAAATGTAATCACCAAAGATTTTATGTCTATGCAACCAACCACTACTGCTGTGCAAATAATATGGATACCTTTAGCTTGTATTATTAAAGATAGCTCTCGTAATAAATCAGTGCAATATAATTAATGAGAGATAAGTGGGGCTCAGTGCTGACTACCAACCTCAAAGTCCGCTGATCACATCAGTACATCACAGCAATAGAAGTAATGTGGAAGTTTATTGGGGCGGAACAGTGGCCTTAGAACCGGTATTGTTCAGCAGCACACAGGTGAAGGTCAACGCTTCAAGGTCGGGACTCAATCTCTGAAAAATACACACGTTTTGCCGTCAATATCGGGTTGATTGCTTCCAGTTCTGACAGATGATCACAACCCAGTTCTGTGGTAGGAAACAGAAGCTGGATGATAGGAACAGGAAATTAGTTTCAGCCCACGGAACACTATCTGTGAAAGAGCAACAAACCCAATGCGATGTCTTAAAAGGCCAGTGCACCTTTATCTTTGCCCTACACCGACTGCTGCACATGAAATGTGACCAAAGAATATTAGAACAGACAGTCCTGGGTGGTGTTATAAGGATGAGGGAGCTCAGATGATGGCAATCATCTGAGGGTGAAGCTTGAGTAGGTTCAGCTGAACTCAGTGTTACTGATCTCACAACGCACTGTCCCAAGGCAGCCACTGGATTTTTGCTGGTTTATTTATAGAAGTATTTCAAGGGAAAACAAGTATGACCAAATACAGAGTGCAAAAAGGCTGATCAACGCAAGTAAACAAATTTCAAAGAAAATTTCCAACTTTAACAATTAGTCACTGTATGAATGTTCGCATCAATTATTAGGATATCCATAGAATCAGTCTGGGGTGAATCAGGAACACAGTTGGGTGGGGGGGAAGAAATGGTATGATGAAATTATAGAAAGGACCTGACAGAACGGAATAAGATAGCAATGGTAAAAGAAAGAGATCCGAGTTAAAATAAATCCTTTGTTTATAAGGGGCAGGATAGATCGAGAGGTACAGGCAGAAAGTAAGTAACAAAATGGGTACGTGTACTTCTCTACGAAGGATTAAGCCAAGAGGAGAGCTGTACATACAGGGTGACCAAAAAGTCGTGATATCTACCCTATCATCCCCTCAAAAAATCATTATTTCTTTAAGACTTACTCGACATTATAATGGTGTCATGACTTTTTGGTCACCCTTTTCATTGTACCACTGCTCCTCCAAATAACTTTCTTTTTTAAAAACAAATGATGCTTGACGGAGCAACTCAACACAGGACAGATGCTTCTGTGTAGGAAGTGAAGCTGGAGGGTGTTATCCCAAAGGGCTAGTCTTGAACACCAAATGGTACACCCGAGTGGCACTGGCGGTGCAAGTCTCTAGGCCATCTTATTGGCGGGGAAATAAGGAGGAAAAACAGGGGGGAAATAAAAAGCAATATATATTTTTGGGTATGAATGTGTCGGAGGTGAAGTAAGTTTCTTGGCTTTGGGAAACATTTCTGTTTTAATGGTATTCTATGTTCCTAAAAATTTACGATTTTCCGGACAGGGATCTTCTTTTCCTTCTCCGTTAAGAGAACAATTGAAGCTGCAGAAAGGGTGTTGTGTAGTAGCATTAACTAACCCAAGTCTGGCAGCTCATGGCCAAGGCTTCTGTTTTTTGGCGTTTAAAAAATTAATTTTTCAGGGTCCCGTCTTAGTTTATTTGGACCATTTTTTGGAGGGTGTTTAATGGACGATTCAGGCGCGCTTGTGCACATGGAGTGGGGGAGGGAGTGCCCCTCAGTCCCATGACTGAGCCACCCTCCTCTCACAAACCCACCACCACGCACGTCTGTGTACACAAGGGGGAGTGGGAGAGGTGGAGAAAGAGTCACGCAGGTGCAGTTGGGTCAGGACCATTCATGGGGCTTTGCGGTGTTTATTGGACAAATGATTTCATCTTTGTTATAAACCGAAGGTGTTTCGTCGGTGTTAAAAACGAAAACCAGAAGCCCTACTCATGGCTTTCCATTCCGGTTGGCGCCGCTGTAACATAATAATAAACATATGAAAAAGTTTTGCACTTCAGTCTCTTAAAAGCTACATTTTTAAAATAAAATTAGAAAACAATGTATCTGTTGCATTATTTTTATTAAACACAGATATTTGGATGATTCCTTGAAGCAGGGAGGAAAGGAAATCTTTGAACACACCAACATCTGCCAGCTTGCACAATTGAAAGAGACGTGCAGTCTTGAACCTTGCTGGAATGCTAAGATTTCAGTGAAGGCGTTTGACAAGTCTTCCTTTAACAGAAAACCTGTAAAAAAAAAACTGCTCAGCTAAACAATTTAAAATACGGAAAACGGTGAAAAAGTAACAGTAAACGTTGAAGATGAAGCGTCTGTTAGTAGGAATATAAAACTGTTCTTTCGACTAATAAGCCATCTTGAAAATCTGGTTCTTCAGATAGGTAGAGAGCTGGTTCATTAAATCCCTGTTCTCTCCCTCGACCCAATGCATTTCTACATGAGCATTCTTTCCATCTTTCTTCACATTCATCAGACATTTGAACAAGAAATAACCTCTCCTCCGTTTGGGAGTGTCTTGCACTTCCGAATTTGCTGCTTCCTTGTTCACTGAACGGACGGTTTCCTGGCTACCCGCTTCATCCATTTTACAGCCAGCAGAACTGTTTTCAACCTGTAAGCAACTCTCGCTCTCCTTTTCCTCAGTCTCCATATTGCTCTCTTGAACCGGATGCAACATATTCAGTGAGCTATTGCCATTGGGAGTCGAGAGCTCCTCTTCGACACTGACCACCATTTGTACTGCAACAGCACTGCTCGCCATGGGGCAATCAGACTCTTCAGAAACCCTATGACAAGCAGTATTATTAATGGTGGGGTCCTTTTCTGCTGTATTGTCCGTTTCAGTGGGCTGTGGCAGATCTGTCCGGGCTCTGGGCAGTTCCCGAAGCTGTCTTGTTCTGTCCCTCTTCTTCCGACGGATGTGAATCCAAGAATTCTCTATTGCTGTTAGAAATAAACTTACTTCATCTTTACCACAAGGGACATGCTTATAAAGCACCTGGAGAGAAAAGAAGAATTGCTGTACATGGTAACAATATACTTTTTGAATTCAGATTTAGCATCCGTGATATCTACATCTTGCAGTTGGCTGCTAAGCTTCGAGTGTGAAGTATCCTAATCTCATTTTATAGGTATCAGTCTTCGATGCACTCACAACAAAGTTGAGATAGATGAAAATAACATCGGCCATCGCAATAGCTTGCACCTCATTTCATCAAAATTCCCTACAAATAGCAGCTGTCAAAGGATGGAGTGACTTTATACACATGTACAGCTACTTGGGATGGGGTCCTCTGATTAAATGTTGAAGCTAATTATTATCAAGGAATGTGGAGAAAGTGTCTCCACAGAAGAGTTTAATCAAGCAACGTACCAAGACCTATTATTGTACGACCAGTCTCTCATCATGACAAACAGCCTGTTTGGACATTAACATTTTCATAGTTGAACAATGTCCTTAAAAGCAAAGACAAACTACCTAAAATGAATTTGTTTTCTATAATTAGTTTGCAATGTTCATCCCAATCTTATGTTCTCACCCCAACAAATGACATCTCCGATACACAGGAGATCTCTCCTGATTTTGGTGTTCAGGTTGAGGGTTACGAATGGTGTGTTGTGCCTCCACAGGAACAGAAAACTCAAAAACTATTGAGAGCTCGCTTTCTGTCCTTTTCTCTTAAGAGATCGCCACCGGGATCTGATCGAGAGCTAACATGACCTGGGCTCAGTTCTGCTCTGCAACACGGAAGAAGTTACGCAAGAAGTTACGCAAGGTTTGCACCACTAGTTTTTCTCTTTGCTAGGAAGCGCCTGGTGACTGCTTATTGCCTCTTCCTGACGGTGAATGAATCAGATGCTAGGAATACATCATGCAGAGAATCACTTCGCACTCCTCAGTGCGAACATGTTAATTATTTCTCATCATTCTAGTCTAAAGAGATGGTATTGAAAAGTTACCTTCAGATTTGTGAGAATTTTCTCTATTCCTGTAGCTACCACCTCAATGCCTTCTGTAGTCACCGACTCAGAGCTCCTGACTTTATTTCCCAGTTCCATGATTGTAGATTCCAACACCGTGAAGATGATGGGCTTCCGAGGTTTCTCCAGTTTCCTTTTCTTGGATGGAGGAGACTGAGGAGTAACAGAAGGACTGCTTAGAGAGACAATGGTCCTTGGTGAATCATTTCTGTGCTGAATTCTCTTTGCACATTTCCGATTGCCTGGTAATCCAATCATCTGCAAATTTCTTCTGATTGAGCAGAACTGACCTGCTTTAAATGGCAATTAAATGAGTTAAATTCACAAGTCTAATCCAACATATCTAAAGGAGTGGTTCAAGTCCCTAATACAATACCAATTTATATTTATATAGTGCCTTTCAAGATGGGAAATATAATAAAATAATAGATATTTCATTGAGGAAGCCACTGCCAAACATAAACCAAACGCCTCAGTGCTTTAAAGCAAGGTGACCAAGGAGTGTTTCCAGTCATAGTTTTCAGAAAAAATTATTTCAAAAGGAGCCAGGAATCTGCTTTGAAAGACACGATCCTCAAGTTTATTTTATCCTCAAGTTCAATAAAAATACTAACGCAACTGAGGTAACGTTTGATCCAATGATGGCTCCCCGCACAAGCTGATGAAGAAAAATTTCATCAGATTTGGTGCAAATCCAATAAATCATTTAGCTATAAAGTGTTTACAGATGTTCAAAGACATCACATAAAAACAGTCTCCGTCTGTGCTTTTTTTAAAATATAAAGAGAGGAAAAGTTCTGATGAAAGAAAGTTATTTTAAAGTTCAGCCAACTTGATGAAATATCATGACCTTTAATCTATCGGGAGAACTGAACTTTAATTCGATCACACAGTAGAACTCCATACATAGCTAAGGGCGAAGTAAGTTAAAATAATTCAGGTAAGAGTCACCTACCAAGGCAACATTCTATCTTACCGATCCAGAAACAATTATAAATTATAATAAATAGGCCGGGGCCCAGTGGATCACTCTTCCCTGGTAAAACACCAGAGAAATAAAATGCAAATTCACTCCACGCTTAAACTCAAGATCTCAGTTGGTCCAACAGTGAGTGGCACATGGTGAATGATGGATAGGGGACACTTTGATGCTTTTGTACCAAGTGCATTTATACTGTTGTGGTGTGAGTCAACTTCCTGGTGTAACCACCCCTTCAGGTGGTCAGATGAGCAGCCTGGCTTATCACAATTATATTAATTATAATAATCCTCCTATTTGATGCAGCGCTTTATTACATCTTCAAGACGTCTCAAAGCGTTTCACAGAATATACTGTAAAGTGAATTGATTGTATATGTTGTGGGCAAATTCACTGCGACTCAAACACAATTTTATATTTGTGCCATATTTTCACCAAACTCAAGAGCAGTACCAGCAAAAGGTCTGTTTGCCCTCTCACGTAAGAGACCAAAAACAGGGAAAAAAACAATGATCATTCTTGCATTTGATATAGCATCTTATTGCAGCATCAAAACAGCTCAAATCGCCTCACAGGATTTTACTGTGAAGCGAAGCAACAGTGGTTTCGCAGGAGAAAATAATTACAGCAGCAGGTTGTACGCATTTGCTTCCAACCCCATTTTTAAGTTATCGTCTCCTATTTGAATTATTGCACAGGAGATTGACTGGAATTATGACTTGTTTTACACACAAATTTGTGCAAATCAGAAAACATTTTGGTAAATTCCGCCAAAACAGCTAAATGCACAAATTGGAACCACGACGAAACATTCTCCCATTTGGCCCACCTTCCCCGCACCCCCCCCCCACCTCCAATTAATGAGAACAAACAATTCAATAATTATTTAAAAAGAATAGAATAAATGATATGACTGTGACTCAAGCTCAAGATTCAGGATCTAACCACCAGAGGGCCTTGTGTTCATGCCTTTTCCTTTGACATTCAAAGAGGACAAAACAAGTCGCGCTGTGTTAGGACCAGTGTACTAGATAACCACACCTTTTCATTGTATTGCAGATTACCCTGTCAAAGGCTGGCTTCTCGCCGGTTACCCTCCCTCCTCTCCAGACGAGCGTGAATCTTGCTGAGGTACGGTGCTGCAGGAGGCAAAGCCCGCTGGCACCTCGCTGAAGTAACCATTCCCCGTGCGTGAAGCAGAGCAGCCAGTGTTGGCCGGCTCTATAATTAGCTTCAGCGCCAAAGGCTCGTCGAGAGGGAGGGGGTGAAATCATGGCAGGCAGGGTTCCCACTCCTATTGCTACCCGGTGATCCAAGCTGGAAAGTATGCATGTGTGGATGTCACGTGAGGACAAGATCAGGCTCGGCTGTGATGCTGCCCTGTTGATGCTCACTGTCTGGGTAACTTGGGCACGGTGCCAGACTGCAGCCAGTGCCTGTGGAATGTCTACAGGAGGTGAGGGAACAATTGGGAAAGGGGGGGGGAGAGGGGAGTGAAGAGTTTTAAGAACAAGTGACCTGTTGTAGATGGGTGTGTATAGGTGTGTTAACACAGGGTAGTTATCGAATTTGGCTCAACTTTAAACTGTAAATCTCCTCCCGCAGCTCAAAGCCTGTCAGCACTTGCTGACAGAATGTGCAGAGTGATATTTAGTGCAAGGTATTGGGAGAGGTGTCAATGCCCTTGCAACCACGCTCCAAGTTCCTGCTTAAAGGGGAGGGAGGAGAGATTTCTATTTGAGTTACAGGCTGCAACACAACCTTTAGGTTCCAATCAGGTTCCCATTTTATATCATTTGAACTCTTTGATCATGTTACAGTTTCGTAATTCACTACCAAGTCAGCTGTTACTCTAGACACAAACAACCCCAGTTCACAGGGCTGACAGCACTAACTGGAAAGATTATGAATACCACCAGCAACGTGGGATTTCGACATCAGATAATAATCCTCGCACTTGATGTAATAATGATCCTTACATTTGATATTATAATAATAATAATCCTATCATTTGACACAACCCTTTCAGGTCTGGAGAGCATCTCAACACGCTTCACAGGATTTACTAATAGCTACTGTGTATTTTGTAGGCATATGGGTCAGCCAATTTCAGCAAGCAATGCCCCATCGATAGCCACAAAGTAAATAACCGAGTTTAAACGGGAATTGTTCGCTAGACACACAGGACATCAGTTTGATGCCTCATTCGAAGGGCAGCACCTCCGACAATACAGCGCTTCTCCAGTACTGTAATGGAGTGTCAGTCTAGACAATGAGTTCCAAGTCCTGATGTGACCTCACAGCTTCCTGACGCAGAGGCAAGAGTGCCACCAACCCAGCCATGCTAACACAGATTAAAACACGGTAGTTTGTGATAAAATTATGCAAAAAATATTAATAGTAATTACTGCATAAATAACTAAATGCATTGGGCATGAAATACTAAGCCCACAAAAATGTGAGATCACCCACATAATACAGTGACTCCACTTTACATATATCTGCATAGCACTTTGATACTTGACACGAAAGGCGCTATAGATAACAAATTCAAGGATTATTCAGTGGTGTAAATTCAATGGATTTCCGTGTTTACACAATGCAAAGCATTTGTAAATTCATGCCTGTCAAGATATTGTGAGGCACGGAATAAATCCTAATAAGTATCAAAGGTTTAAAAAAGAGGATCTGTAATGCAGATTACGGTTCAGGAAGCTTAGGGATGATAGGTATATGGCAATGCTTCAGTAATTATAGGTTAAAATCATTGTGTCACATAGTGCCTGACCTTAGCCACATTTGGGAGGTAGTCAGTGGAAATGAGGCACTTTCTCACACAGTGGGGTGGGTTAGGTTTTAATTGGGGGCATTATTCCTCAGCTATTTAAATACACCTCTCAGTGTTTGGTTCAGATCGGGCTTGTTTGAGATTCGTGAGAAGGTTATTTTTGTGGTTGATGCAAGCGTTCCGGGACGCTACCCAATGTAAAGGTGTTGTTGTGGTCCAAACAACCAGGGATGATACAAAACCAAGCACAAAGGCATGAATTTCTGGCCCCTGATGTTTCGTCATGATGAATGCAGTCGTTTTACCTTTAAATTTTGCTGTTAGATAAAAACAGAATAAGCATGTAGCTGCCGGCCGCAACGGAGAGCAGGAAAACTAGGCCAATGTTTCTGCCTAACTTGCTTCCTTCTCCTTGGCAGCCTATCCCCATTCCGGGTCTCCATGAGGTGAGTGTGTCAAAAGGAAAAAAAAAAATATCCCCCTGAGAAGATTACTAATCGCTGAGCACATCAACTGCTGCACTGCCACGGAACTGTTGCTGGGTTACTGCGAATCAGAAGGCACCAGCAGTCTGGTGCAGGTTAAGTGCATCTAATGGAAGGCGAGGGAATGCATTATTAACAGCATGTTGCTACCCAGACTGACAAATGCCAGCTTCTTTTCTGTTTTGATGTGTTTATCAGTGACAAAACAAAATGTACGATTGTGCTCGATAGTCAATGCATGTCAGGGTAGGCAGCAGGCATGTTTATCTCAAATAACGTTAAGATCTCACAACGCCAATTTTTTTTTAAAAAAAAGAAATACACAGTCTACAATTAACTCAACAATTCCCTTGTTTGCTTTGTCAATCTTCTATTTTGAAAGAGTGTTCGGTGACGTTGTAAAGCTAATAGCAACCTTCTCTTTCCACTGACTCCTCTCCCCCCTCCCTCTCCCTTCTCAAGCCTTCCCTTCCCATTCTAGGAAGTGCTCAGTTACTCGTGGCTAAATGTTTAACTGTCTCCAGAATCACTTGACCCATTTTGGCTCTCGTCAAGATTTTAAGACAAAAATGTTTTGTCAGCTGCTTATTTTTAATACATGCACACATGCACACACACATACACACAAAAAAAATCACTGAACACACACACACGTATCCCTCTTTTGAAAAGAAGTAAGTCTCTGAAAGCAAGTGTTTTCCCTGAAGACCAGGCTGGTGGATGCTGCTGTGTCAAGGTCATATTTCACCTAATTCACTCCAAGTCTGGCATCACATTTAGTTATCAATCAGGGTACAGGCTAACAAGGACCTATGTCCCCAGATAGCACAAGGGGTCCCTAATTTTCAGCGATTACCTATCCAGCTATCCTATGAAATAACAAACTGGACCCAGGGTGGAAAAATCTGACAGTAATTAGCGTCATTAGAATATCCTAAAATGGAAAAATACAGAAAGAAAAAGCACGTCCGTTTACAAAGCTAATGTTTGTCAGCTGGCACAGCCTTGCTGCTGCAGACTGTGAAGTACAAACACTAACAAGCCTGGGAATCCCATGCTGTGCCTGAGGGGAACACAGTAACTGGTGGAAGTGCCCCAGGTGGCTTCTCTCAGTACCTGCAAGTAAAACCGAAGCAAAAGCTGCTGGAAAACACTAGCCGTGATCCCAGCATCCCCGGCTCCACACCAGGAGTAGGAAAAGAAACAAATTGCACCTTCTGTATGTGAATCGTCAAAAATAGTTCTTTACTTTTGAGCTCATTTGGGCCCAACTGAAACCAGGGTTCAGAAAGACTTCACGCCAACCCCAGAACAAAGAAACATTGAAATAAGTCCAATTGTATTGTTGTGAGAAGAGATTGAGAAGGAACTTGCAACACTTCGTAATCAGACTCCATCCCAATGTAGTGACCACGTTAACACCCAAGCCTCCAGTTAATATATGTATAAATATGGAGTACTGCAGCGTATTGACTCACAAACAAGAGGACCTGGATTTGATTCCCGGGCAGGGTGAAACGTTGGGCAAATTTCCTTATCTCGGTTTTACTTAGCAGTAAGTAGCAACCTGGTTATTAATCGATTGGCATATCGCTTTTCTGAGGGTAATAATCCCACCCCCACAAAAAATAATAATTTGGTGACTCAATTCCCGGCTGTTTGCGGGGCATTGCTGTGTGTAATTGGCTGTTGTGTTTCAATAAGACTGCAACACGACGCAACTAGTTTGAGGATATCTATTTACGGCTTCTTGTGACAAACACATCGCTAAGGAAACAATGGACAGAAGTGCCGATTTAAATTCTCACACGAATAAACATCACGCATCCAGCTAAATATCACACTGCAATGAATAAAAGTCTCGTGCTCCACACGTCCCATTAGGAAAATTGTGAAAGTGTAAAAATAGCCTGTAAAAAAAAATGCTGTCAAACTAAAGGTTAATGCAAACAATGGCATCTGTTTAGGATATTAAATTGGCCCCTGGGAAATACTTCAGGTGTCATGGCAACAGTGATGGGATCCGTAAGCAGGTTCATTCCCCCACCCACCGCCGCCCCTTTAAACAAAGAATTACTTTTGTAGGTTAAATGCACATCTGCATTATTAGATAATAGACCACTCTTTAAAAATGCTTACAATACCGGCCCAATCACTGCTTTCACCTTACGGGAACTGGGGCTGTTTCAACTGGCGGAAATACCTTCTCATCGATAATCTGAACTAGCTTTAAAGGCCGTGTGATTTTGATCAAGCAGCTCATTATTATTATGATGAACAGAAACGAGAAACAAAATGTCAGGAGATTCTTACATATTCTGATCCTAATTAAAAAAAAATCTTTGGTCCTTTATTAACATCCCTATTTGTCTCCTCCCAATAGCCCGAGGAGCCTCATACGGGGATAATGAAGTTACACGTGTGATTGATTGGACACCAGTGATGGAAGCTTTCAAAAACGATAAGGACTCCAAGGTGCCCTTAATCATTTCGCTTAGCAAATTGTGATCTTTCTTGCTTTCAATTTCTTTTTTTTAAAAAAAAATCAACACACAAAAGATGTAAACATTAATGAAGTTATTAATGAGTCTTTGGAGAATACTGCACAAGTTTGCTGAATTTCAATGTGAAAACGCACAAGACTTATTATTTCCTCCTTTTACTCCCCCCAACCCCCATTCAACTCATCTAATAGCTGGGTGGGGGGCAGGAGAATGAGAAATGGGGGGATGGTGGGGGAAGAGGAGGATTAGCTAACTTGATAACTGTCTGTGCAATTAATATCAAACTCAGAAGAGGGTTATAATATATAATTTTGGGCTACCACTGATTTGTGGTGGTGGTGTGGGGGGGGAAATCATATAATAACGGGCACTCTAAGGTGAAATGGGAGCTTTTTCAGGACATTCACTGCTCAAACTCAGAACATGTGCTTTCCATGGGATTGGAGTGGAAACCAAAGCTGACACTATGGGTCAGAACCCATTAAAGGTGACTATATCTTCATTGGAGCTTGAAGATTGTGCCTTCTGTTTTAAATGGATAAAATATCATGTACTACTGAAATTCAATTTTACTCCTGTTCTTATTCAAGTATAAATTACAATGATGGGAAGAAACCTACTCCTGTGTTTTACTCTTACTTATTGTGTTCTATATTCACATTCCTAAACTTACAGGTCAACTATGAAGCGTTTTTACTTGTTATAATTTTCAGCATAACTCATGCTAGAATAGAGAACAGAAAACTGTTTACATGTCTCATTAAGTACATTTAAAGTACTTACAGGCATGGTTACATCATCGTAAAAACTCCAGGCCAGAGCCCATCTCATAGTTCGTCCTTGGCAGAATTCAGTGTGGGTGACTTTAGGGACCTGCAAGACATGCAGCAAAGAGGCAAAAACTAAAAGTTTTATTACTTAAACATTAATTCATCCCTGGAATCAGGGATTCTTCCCACTCAGCTCTCATTAACCCTGCATCCAAAGCCCTAATGGGTACGGTGGTCCAATCTGGACAAGCAGCTCTATGATCTGGCAGCAGATGTATAAGAGTGGTACTAATTAATACCCTGATCAGGAAATGCATTTTACTCGCTTTTACTTCCGATGGAAGGGATATAGTATCTGTTATGTGGAGAATCATGGGCTGCAAGTAACATCCCATTACTCAAATTGTGAATGCTACCTGAAATATGGTGCACTCCATCCTCCTCGTGGGATGTCATTTTGGCCACAACCCACTAAGGGTAACGTACATAAGCTACTGTAAGCGTTCAAAGAATACAAGATAACATTGACAAGGCAAGAGATTATTAAGATACTCGCAAGACACAGTTGGCTTTCAATCTTGGTGAACCCTTGTATCAGCCAGTCATACATGTGATTTACTGTGTCAGATCTTAACTAAAATGACAGGTAGATTGTTCAATCCAGGGAGCAAATGCCTTCTCCACCATAGTAATTAAGGAGCGGGTAATACAGGGAGCCTCTCCATCCACCCATGACCTCTCCCTCACCAGCAACCATATTTTCCTCCCCCGCCCATCATTACCATCGTGATTTAATTTAATTGCAGAATACTCTTACCCCTTGCTGTCGAAGTTCTTCTTTCAGTGGAGCCAGACTGCACTTCTTCCCCAACATACAACTGTACCATCTAGGAATGTACAGATGAGGAGTTACTAAATCAACATCAGACAAGGATTCTACTGTTAGAAGCCCAAGATCACTGAGCTACACACAAAGGGAGTTGTGCATATAATATATCTCCTGGTCTTTTGATAGAATCTTTCCCCATCCCAGCTCAAAATCTGCCTAAAGTGATTTAAAAGATAGTCAAAGTAGCTTAATTATATTCATATACACTGTTGTGATAGTGTAACATTTAAATACAGTAAATTCCTGATAATTCAACCCTGGCTTAACTTGTCACTACCACTTAAGTCATCATGCTGCCATTTATACATATGCCGAGCACCCACTCCTGATAACTCATCATTGAGCCCGTTTCCCTCAGAGTGAGGAGTTATCAGATTACTGTATTTACTAATTTAACAGCCATATAAACCAGGGAATCTTTGCCAGAGTTAGTTTCAGTCTTGTCTACTTGTGAGGAAGATACAGGCCATTTCCTGGATATCTTCTTTCAGCTACACTGAACTACAGTCCGCTTCAATAAAGGGCATCAATTTTATAACAAACCGGGTAATTGAAACAGCAAGATGAATTGTAGCCAGCTTACACAGCCTTGGCTGGGATGGTTTTGTACTGATTTTCCACTTGTCCCAAATTAGTTAGAGGCGTATAAAAGCTGTAAACGCTGTAAACCTGCCAGCTAGAAATGTATTGCAGAGCAAAAGAGAAAAGATCCTTCATCTAAGATGGACGGTAAGGCTGCTGAGTTGAACGATTTGCTCCATAACATTATTCAGTCAGCTGGGCTGTTCATGGGTCTCTCCTCAATCTGTCAGGCCAGCTAGTTTGTGTACAGCATCACACCTGCGATTGGGCCAAGAATAAAGGCAATCTTCTGCAAATCAGCAGCTTTTCTTATTTTTCCAGCTCAACACATTGAATCTGAAGCAGGAATCAATCTGATTAACGGGATGGAAACTGAATCTACCTCACTGGGGAAGGTACAGGTAACTGGCTGCTTCTCCTGTTTCACAGTTTACAGCTTTTCAAAGACAGGACCGACTGAAAGTTTTGCACAAAATCCAATTTCATAAATGCCGCCTTCAAGCAGATTTGAGCCTGTGCACTAACGGCTGAAACCTTTACATCAGTGCACCTGTGATATTAGAACACAGATACTGGATTTGATATTAAAAACACATTGTGCATCTTTAAGCAAAGTAGAAAAGGAAATCACTATCATGCTTCTCTTATATCCTCCACTGTAGCTGAATTTATTTCAAAATGATTAAACTGCAGTAATAACTAACAAGTCACTTTGAAAATGTGCAAAACATTTCGCTGGGTCCATTACTGACATAACTAGAATAAAGATGAGAATCTCTGTAAAATAATAGCCATGTCAAATATTGTACTAGCAACATTATCTCAGTGAACTGACCCAAAGACAATATAGTTCACAAGGAAAAAGAGAATAACACAAGTGGGAATTTGCAGAGATTATATAACAATAATAATAGTAATAAATTTGAGATACAGAAAAAATAAAAGCAAAGTACATATAGAAGACAGCGGATCAGAAAGGTGACAGGCACGAGAAACAGAAAGACAGAGAAAGTGTGTGAAAACAGCAAAAGAGAATAAAAAGGCAGAAGGACACAGGAAGAAAAAATATCATTTTGAATTAAAGGAAGCTACTTTTCAAAGGAGACTGGCACTCAGATACACAGGATAGCAACTAAAGACAGGCATCACTGCAAAATGCCCCCAGTTCATTTTTAATTTATTGCTGACACAAATTTTGTGCATTTTAGACAGGTGATGTAACACTAGTGATGACACTTATTAAGCTTCCTGAAGAAACTAGATGAGATTTAATGTGTTGAGATGGTAAGTTAATGTTGACAGACAGCAGAAACCACAATAGTTTGCTGTCTAGGGTTTGTACATTTGTCCAGAATTTCATAAATGGAAACATTAAGAAAAATATTGGCTAAACTTCCAAATTTCAGGACAGGAGATTGTGAATCCAGAGAAGAATTTCTAAATTCTACACTAGAGGAAAACCTGTTATGGCAGTCCACAGAGGTACGAAAAAGAAGCAACTGCTTTCAAAACACATCCTTAAATTCCAATTTCAAATTTCCATTTGAAGGAAACAAGTATTTGTGCAACAGCATTGATAATTGAGCTGAAAATGAGCTGGCGCAGACAATGCAGAGGATTTATCCGGCTTGTGAAATTGACACATCTGTTGGCGCAATTATGTATGGAGTCTGTCTCGTCTCATTCTTCACCTTTCAGCTCCAGAGGAAATTCTATTGGTCAAAAAAGGCTGCCTGCCTCTATGTGTGTGTGAGAAAGAGTGTGTGTGAGTGTGTGTATTGGGGGGGAGGGAGGGGGTGCTCAATCAAAAAAGGGTTTGCAAGAGTGAATTCATATTGACTTGCATTTGACTTAAACTGAATTTAGCTCAAAGCCATTTTTCTCTATTTATTGTTGCATTTCATCAATACCATATGTCCTAAATTTCGCACAGGGTGCACTTGTCAATTGAGGAGAAAATAAAATACAATCAATACCAGCATACAGTGGAACCAACCCGGTTTCAAGTAAGAATCAATGAAAACAAGCCACGAGTCCCAAGGATAATTGTATCATTTGAGAGAAAGCTACAATCAAAATTGGAAGAGGAATTCTTTTGACTGTGAAGGAGAGGAGACGTTTTATTGTTCTCTGCATTGTCAGATTTAAGGTTCCACTGCATTATCTGAATAGACAGTCTCTGTACCATAAATGCCAACCGATGAGTGAGACTGGAAATGGCTTTTGAGACAGATTTGTGTCGTTGACCTTGATTGGAGCAGAAGGTAAAGCAAGCATGAAAGGTTCCGTGGTTGAGAACTCACGACTGTGACAATTTCATTGCGTCTCATGTGCTGGCTTGGGGCTTTTAGGCACACTTGCAATGGGCTGCTGCTCATCTCACTGCTCTCAGTCGGAAGAGCACCAATAACTTTTTAAAATAAAATTACATCACTCAAAATAAATGCGCTCTCAATTTCGCTGTCAATTTGCATCGAGTAGGGGCTACAGCACATTCAAGGCTTATACTCTAGTGCAGTAGGGAGTGCTGCATCATTGGAGATGCCATCTTTTGGATGAGGCATTAAATCGAGCTCCTGACTGCCTATTCTACAGACAGACATTAAAGATCACAAGCATTATATGAAACGAGAAGAGCTTCTCTTCTGGTCAACAATCCTCAGACTTTTACTCCAATGGCTGCTTGTGGGACTTCGCTATATGACAAAATGATTACAGTATTTGCTACAGAAAAGTTGCTACATGTAATAGTAATTGCTGTGAAGTGCTTTGAGATGTTTCTGGGTTATAGGCAATATAAAAAAAATGCAAGCTCTTTCTTTGAATTAAAATTTGCCTCCAAGATCAACCAAATCAAGACACTAGTATTCCAAAATAGAATTCAGTATTGTGATTAAAAATATTCAATTTTTAAAAAAGAATTACAATCTCCTGCTGCAGGGGATTAATGAATTATTTTAATATGTATATGGTGCTGTTAACATTTCTAAGTTCAATCTAACCAATTTATTTAATCATGTACTGTGTTACCCTTTACTAGTCACACAATTACAATGTGCTGCTGAAATACTTAAAAAGCAAACCTAGATTTCAAGGTCAGTCAGTTAAGCAAAGCAATCTGCTCACCCAAACGTAAAAACATTAAATCTTACTGAGTAAAGAAACCACTGTATCCTTAGCAAATGGCCCAAACTCGCAGTGTAACAATTAATACTTCAGAGTCCTTAAAGGTTCTTGTCTGAAATACACAGACCTAAAGTTGTCCTGTGCACACTATTCCTGGATTTGACAAGATACACAGCCCATCCTTACGTATCTTTCAATAAGCTAGCGTGTGCATCTAGCTTGACTCATCTTCCAGTTTTACTTCTCTGCCTGTGTGGAAACATCCTGACTAAGGCAATCGCAAGGGTAAAGTATCTGTGATACACCACATTAGGCTGCTGTTTTCTTAAAAGAAACACCAATAGTAATCCCATCCTCCAAAATACTCACACTAATGTCCACGTCTCCTCTCCTAACCGTCCCTGATCTACTCACAGAGAGATTAATTAGCAGGCAGATACTGGAAGTTCTGGGCTGAAGACATGCTCGTTAACCTCAAACGGTGATCCGAAAAATGTATTTCCACTTGTTAGGACTTAAATGTTATTTTATTTCAGTTGAATTGTTCCAGTAACTGTCCAGTCATGCACTGTTAGCAAATCCTAATTTTTGCTCATTATCTTTGATCGAGGCAAAAATGAAACGGGATTGAATATTGATCAGAAGAAGTTATTTGCTCAATAAAGGAGTAATGCCGACTTCATGACAAAGCAGAAAATGATTCATAAGAATGCCACTGCACTACAGAAACTGAAAATAAGGTCAGCTGTTATCAGCAGGTACTGTGGCCAGTGAATATGATTAAAGTCATTTGTAATAGCTCCATCTAATTTAAATAGCCCATTTATTTTCAACAGACAAAGGCTTGAAATTCCCGTAGTTTTAGCCTGCAAGACCATTGTCTTAAAATATGAGACTGTAGAATTGTGATAAATTCTTAATTTCAGTCCTGCTTGGGAACACTGTTTTCTGCGGTTCTTGGGGGGAAAAAAATACATTGTCCAAATTAATTTAAGAATTATTCATAATTCTGGCGAGATTACATTTTGAGATAAAATAGTCTTACAGCAAAAACTAGGTGAAATTTCTCAGAAGACATGAAAAGGCGTTATATCAAATGCAAGGATTATTATATTGCTATCTCTTATCTCAACTATGTTTCTTCTGAAACATAAACTTTGAAACTATCTACACTGAAACTGTAGGCCATCGACACTCTCTACATTTAATAAATGTAGTCCAATGGCGATGCAACAGATTTTTGTCTTCACTGACCCATAAGCGAGATGTTTTGATATCTACTTCCATCTGCTTTAATTAATTAACTTCAAATTCAGTGTATACCGTTACATTATACAAATATTGATTGAACTGCAGCTTCGAGGCAAACGGAGGAAACTACTGGCACAAAGATTGTGCAAGTGACTGAGAGTACGTTATAATGCCCAAGGCTGGAGGTAGAGGGCATTACTACACACTCAAGGTCAACTGTGTAACCTGGGAGAGACCAGTTTATCATACAGCCTGAAAACTGCAGTCAATATTGGTTTCATTACACCCAGACGGGGATTTATATAGGAACTGAGAAGACCCCCCCTCACAATTTCCAATCGCAGTCAAGCCAAGATGGGGGACGAGCAGAGCAAAGGTCAGCAGCTATCCCATAGAGCGGGACAGAGAGCTGCTTTCTGTTTATTATCATTTTTTTTAGATCTAATGTAGAACAAGGTTTTTAAAAAAAATGACATTATGTTTGCATTGCAGGGAGAATGTTCATCAGAGGGCAGGAGGATTTCTGAGGTAAGCGCAACCCAATGTTTAGTGTGCAGAGGAATGCTGTTGTCACGACAGCACAAGTGGGGGGGCGGGGGGAAAAGTTCTTGGGAGCGTACTGTTCTCCCAGGAATCATTACTGCACGCGTTAGGTGATTAAAATTAGTCTCACAGACATTTGCCCATATATGGGAGTAAAATGCTGGTGCCGGCAAAATGTGAATCCAACAAGATCTCCCTGTATCCTGATGTATTAGACTCAAAGCCACAACAATTTTAAATATGCAATAATTGTGCTGGAAATATTCTCTACGGCAATCTCTGGAGCAGAAAGGTAATGGTGCAGAATAGGTTTCTCCACATCACTTACCTCAGTCTCTTTTTCAGCTGAAGGCTATCGTGGATGATTATTTTCACAAACTCCAGTTCACCTCCCTCAGCCATAATTTCAGTAATTCCACCTGTGTTTACAGAACTGGGGGGCGGGCGGCTGGGATTCCGAGAGTTTTCACCCTGTTAATAAAAGCTCAGATGAGAACTACAGTGCAGCGGGATGTTTGTTTCCGGTTAACATTGAAGGTTTATTTTTAATATGTATCACGTTTGAAGATGAAATCGAGAATGTGAAGCTGTCACTAATGAGCTCACCCACAATTGTGAACACATTGGTGGCCATTAACCCTTAGGATACAGGAAGAACAGTTTTTTTAAAAAAAATAACACTGTTTTATCTCCTCCGATGGCTCAGTGAATTTGTTGTATGAGTGCATTTTATCTTTTGCTTAGGATTTATTTCTGAAGATGAATTTTCTATAATCTATGGAAGTGAAAGCAAATGAGCCGACTTCCGTACTTATCTATAAGGAAGTGCAATACTGATAAATCGTAACATTCCACATTTTTGCTCTACTCATTGCATCTCACTGTTCTATACGTTTTCTTCCTTTAACCTTTTCTCATTTTGCTCATCTCTATTCTCCCCATTTCTTACATATATCAAATGTAAGGATTATTATTATTATTATTATAATAAAGAAAATATTTAAAGTTGACCTATTTGAGACCAGGCAACAGTCTTCGGAAGCACTTTGGGTCTATAACCACTTTACGGTTATCATCACCTTCAGTCAGAGAATCCTCCGCAGACCTAAAGGATGGAGATGGTCCAGGCTCCAGACATTCCTAGCATTGTATTTGGTCAGCATGCAGGAAGAGTGCCTGAACAGGGCAGAGCACGTGGCACGTTTCGGCTAGGTCATTAAGTAGTAACAAAAGGCTGAGTAGTTTCGCACTGTGGCCTATATCCTGCCAGTTCAGCAACGAGTGGCTTTCAACTAACATTATACTCAAGAAGTCAATCGGTTTAGCCGCCGGCAAAAGTATGTGGCTGAGTTAAGGCAACAGCTCGTGAGTGAGAGAACCTGGAATATTGTTCACTTGGAGGGGGGAGTTAGAAGGACGCTTTAAATGTCTTCTAAGAAAAATTTATGTCAACAACTATTAGATCACAGCGGAGCAATCAATATGCATTCAGTGACGTTTTGTATAGCCCAGTTATATAGTTTTAAATGCTGGATTTAATGAGCCTAACAAAAGAGAATGTGTGCCTTCAGGAGATGTTTTTGTGAAGGAGTAATAATAATAATAATAATCCTTGCATTTGATATAGCGCTTTTCACTTCGGGAGGACGTCCCAAAGCGCTTCACAGAACACACTGTAAAATGAATTGACTGTATATTTGTGGGCGAACGCGGCAGCCAATTGCGCACAGCAATGTCCCACAAACAGTCGTAGATTGAAAATGACCAATTTAATTATTGTTTTTGTTTTTTTGGAGGGATTATTATTAGGCTCTGTGTGGAGTAAGGAAACTTGCCCAAGGTTTCGCCCTCTGTCTGGAATTGAACTCAGGTCTCTCACTTGCAAAGCGAGTGCTCTAACCACTGAGCTACAGGACTCCACAAGGGTAACATTGTAAAAGATTTTACCTTGGCTTCTAACTGATTTGCGAAGAATGGAGGGTTACACATGCAGAAATCGTAAACAATCTCAGATTCCTCTTTCAGGGCATCCATCAAGAGCGTTTTCTGGGGTACCTTCACCACTGGGAAGAGAGAGAACAGTGAGTCAGGGACAAAAGCTACAGAGACGCTCACCTGACACAGAGGCTTTCTTTCTTCTTTATTTATGAGACTTTTCACTTCTGGATAAAATCTATTTACATCCTTCCTCTTGAACGAACAAAGGGGGTGGTGGTGGGAGAGAGAGGAAAGCCGTAAGGCTGCACAAAATAAACACTTAATTGTCATTTTCTAATCAAAAATGCAACGCTAGAAAAGCTCCTCATTATGGGGAGCAATTTAAATTATCTCAAATTTTCACGGTAGGGGTGTTAACAATTGGCATGTTACAGAGTTAACGTAGTTATTTGTAGGACTGTGAAAGTTTAGCAAGTTAATGCTGTAATTGGTTAATAAGTTTGTCATTGAAAATAAAGAAAAATTGATTTCCATTTCTCATTTAAATTGGTGCAATTTCGGTACAACTTCCCCTTTCCCATGCCCTGTATTTGAGCAGCTAATTAGCAGTAAAAGCCTAACAGCATAAAAGGAAGGAATGAGACACTGTGGGATCTCAGTGAATTCAAGCCTTGGCGTTTCAATAGTGATTATGCAGCCATAAACTAGAATAGTTTGATTTGGCAACATTAACCCTTGAAGCCAGCTGTATGTAGTTCCTGTTTATTCCACAGGGTCCGTGCTCAAGCACACAAAAAAATACTAATAACGTTTAAATTTTTAAATTCATATTCTCGCTCACTCTGACAGTAATTGTGTGGATGTTCACATTTTCACAAGTACTCAACTGGAAATTTTGCCTTCAGCACTGCATGCATTTTAATGACTGCTGATAAATACTACACTGATGGGCAAATGGGGTACTCAGATTTTCTTCGACCATATTTGGTTAAAGATGAAGGCAATGGGTTGAAAGCACTCCCGTATCTTTCCTTTCCTTCCTTCTCCCATGAGTTGCAGAATGGTCTGCTGCAAATCCTTTGTGTTTCTTAGGCAATATGTAGTGAGTGCATCATCAGTTGGCTTGGGATCACTTTTTTAGACTCTCTTGGTTGCCAATACCGGTTTCAATAATAATTATTGTTGATCAATACTGGGGCTCATGGCAAAGTGAATTTCTTGTGGTACACGCTTGGCTGTAGAAGCGAGCTGTGTGGGCTGTTTCAGACCCCCACCACCGCCCTCCTCAAACAAGCCCACCCCCCCCCCCACACACACAGGGAGCTCTGCAATAGAATTAACATTTTCTTTCTTTCATCAAACACTCTGGATGAGGCATGTATTAACCAATGAAATGTTAAGGGAGTATTACTACTTATACCAGAAATGTTAAACTGAATGCTTGGAAAAATCAAACTAAAAAATGGCTACACAATCACCATAAATGTGTTAATCTTGCATGAAATGGTCCTCAGCTACTTATCACTTTAATTCAATAACCCGCTGAATTGGGGTAAAACATGGAACAAGACAGAAGCGTTTCAGTAAATGTTTGTATATCACGATCTGAAATACTGCCTAAAAACCAGATGCTTTGCACACTACACAGATTGCTGTGTGGATAACAGAATCATTACATGGCTATATTTTCTGACCATTAAATTGTTTAATTGATTATACTCAGTTCGTCAACGCAGGCCTATTGCAGCGTGCCAAAAGATTACAATCTCACAGCAAGTTAGGCTTAATATGAAAATCATTATATATAATTATACACAGATAAATGGGTGCAACAATGCAAGCCACACATGTCCAGACATAAATATCTGATGAGCTTAGAATCGGAGCACAAACACATTCGAGCATAACTGGAAAATCGTCCAAAACAATGGGAGTGCGGGGAAAAGCAGATATCGAATGTCATACACATTGTTTGTAATGAACGAATTTTGCAACACTAACATGCACAACCTGCTCCAGTGCATTCTAGTTTCATGGATATGTATTATTATTTGTATAGCTATAATGCGGTGTGAAACATATTAAATGTATCCCACCCAGCTTCTTCCCCAATTTGACTATCACTGTGCACAATGACAATCTGAACGTTTTGAGAGAAACAAAATCTGCGTGATGAGAAGCGGAGATAAAAGGAAGAGGACAGACATCAGAGAGATTACACTGGGCAAGAGCTCTTGGTCAAAAGAGGAACCAATTTCTTCATGCAAAATCTGCTTCTAAATATCTAGGAGAAATGAAGAATAATACAGAACGAGCATTCCGTTGGTAAACTCACCTCAAACTCAAACTGAACCTTATCTCATTTTTACCCCAAGTTCAATTATATTTCCAAACACCAATTAGCTCATTCAATTAAGAGTCAAGCTCCGAGTCCTTCTGGTTGGTGTGACTAAGCAGCCCACAAGGCAGAGCGAGCTGGTACATTAAGTTAAACTTAAGCTTGTCAAATCCAAATTCAATCAGGTTTGATGAGATTTGCACGCTCACTCAATTGCGTCCAAACTCCTCTGTAGTCCTGAACAGGGTGTTCAAAATAGTTAACTACTTTTATCCAATCTTTATTTTAAAATATAGGGTCGCGCTAACGTTTCCTTAAAGCGTCTAGATTTTGAATATTGCACAAGTGTAGAGGGGAGCAAACTCAACATCAGAATACATATCACAGCTGTATTAAACTCTTGCCAAATACAGTGCATACATCACGCACTGGAAGACATACACTATTGACATCTGCACCCTGAGGATAGCAGGCTTCCAACTTAGCTACATTGTCAAATTGAGCACCAAGTGAAAGATGGGCGATGGGTCCGGAAGACGGAGCAGAATAAATATCTTTGCTTGAGAAAGGGACATATACAAAACACTTAGCAGCTCCCAGCATTTGAAAGTGCCAATAAGGCACGTCAGACAAGGCAGCCACTCAATGCAAATTGAAGGACGACATCTGAGGAAGAATTAGAAGAAAAAGAAAGAAGCGGGAGGTGTATACTGCACTACCATTTTCTACAGAACCCTTAAGAAGGTGACAAGTGATTGAAAAAAAATCCCTTTCACAAACCTTTAATGAGTTCAGAAAGATTATTCTGCTCCACATTTTTCGTTGCATAATTGAAGCACATATCGTCCACCTCAGTGGCAAGGAAGAACCAGCCATTCATAGTGGCCCCAAGTAAAGGGTAGATGCAGGAGGCCCCAGTGCCTGCAACATTCAAAGGAGAGTGGTTATTAAATACACAGGGAGGCACAGCAATAGTGGTTATTAAATACACGCTTCTATGGTTTTGAAATATCTGTCTATAGTTTTGAGCGACAGATATTTATTCCTTCCAGATAAAAGTGCCCTTAAAATCAATCTCATAGGTAGCCAATACATAGTCAGACTAAAATTTTAGCCAGACTAAAAGTCTTGCGAATTGTTTTTGCTTAGCTGATAACATGGGAGGGGCTTTACAGTATGAGCATACCTTTATGTTAGTGACAGACTTCTAATACACTAGACAATGATGAACCAAAAACAACAAGAAGTTGCATTTACATAGCGCCCTTCACCCGAGGTAGTGCCTCGGAGTGAACCACTCTATAAGTAGTAATAAATACACCCAGAAAATGCAAGCTTGATGCCTCATGGGCATACAAATTACCTGGTGCGGTCCTGTCTTACAAACCAGAAGTATTGCAATTACCTTTAAGCTGAGTTGGCAGATCTCATATAATTGCAGCTAAAAATAACCTCTGCATTACTGGTCAAGAAGGGGGATAGCAGAGAGTGATATTAGCAGGAATTTCTGATCACAGGACAATAATTATTGTTGCAGACAAATCGATGCCAACACTCAACAATTGGCCTCACGATGAGGAGTAACCACTTGGTGTGATAACAGAGGGCTGCCTATACCTCAGTAATGTCCTGCGCCCTGGGACGTCTTTCCGACGCGAAGGGTGCTATACAAGTATAATCTGGGTCAAAGAGCAGGTCATGAAGAAATGAGGACGGATATATGCTGCTGCTTTCGATGCCTAAGTGTCAATGTGCCAATGCTAATACGAGTATCTTTTGCCGCAAAGCATTCCTGGATAAGAGTATGCAGCCAACCTGCTTCCAACCTCTGCCAATTGCACACTAATCAGCTGTGAGATGTGCGAGAGCAGATGTGCCAGATTTGCTCTCGAATTTCTCCTGGATCCTTTTGGGGAAGTGACTTGATCTACTCAATAATGCAGTCCATTCTGAAACACTTTCAAGAGCACAACCATATGCTTTACATTCTTTTTATTGTTACAATCATTCTTTGGCTATATTACATTTATAGTGTGAAGAATGTAAGGTGTAGTGGACATGGTGCAACGTGACAAGCAGTCAGCCTTACAAACTGGTTACCTTGTGGACCCAGGTAGCAGCAGCCGTGTTGGGAGTTTTCTGCTGCAATTTCCTACAAAATTGGTGACATTTGACAGCAACCACCTTTGAGTTAGGAGTCCAGGTGATTGGTACAGTCTGGCCTATAAATACAGGTTCAATTCATATAGAGTTGGCAGTGAGATTAGGTGGCTGTGATAGACAGCATTCATTGTAAATCACTTGCAGTTAGCTAGTTGTCGGTCTGCAGAAATCTACAGCTTAGCAAGATTTTAATGCTGCTCAGGAAAAACCTACAAAAGCTACTTTTCATAAATTGCACTGGAACAGCATCACTTTTACTAGGCTGTCAGTCTCATGTAAATGCAGATAGCAAGAATGCTGTAGTGGCTTCCTGGTCATTTAAAGTTTAATGTTTTAGAATGACATTTCCCTAGATAAATGCACTCAATATGTAGAGCACTTGTCACTGAAAGTACTTCATTTTTTTAATCTTCTAAGAAGACAAGGAAAGTAGCTGGCATTTAGCAAATGTTTTAGTAATGTGGGTTTTTTTTTGAAAAAAAGGATCTGCCTTACAATGAAACATGCAGGGAAATTCCTTCAGACAACATGGCTCAGCAGAATTAATATTAAGAAAGAGCAACGCAGAATTTTACCAATGTGGATAAATTAGTTGCACCTCATTAATTTAACATCAGCATAAATCCTGATAACATGAATACATATGAGTAGCTGTTTCATCATTCCAGTCAGTTCTTCTGAAAGAAAACTGGAGGATAATAAAAATTCCTTTTAATATAAGACGGGTCTGCAATTTTTGAAGATTTTTGATAGGACTCATAAATAATTCAGTCTAAACACTGATGGACAATGGCTTAAAGCTGTGAGTTTGATGACCTTATAGTTCAAATCAAGGTCAGATTTGGGAATAAATCTTCTCTTTTGCCTCTGCAATACTATTATTGCCACCGTGTGTATTTACTAAGTACATTTGATTTCCCAGAAGGTGATGTATCTGCAAGTACATTTATAGGAAACGCTCTCGTCACACAGATTGATGAGAGACAAACATGGAGTCATTGTAATTGGCAGCATCTCAGGCTTAGTTGACCCCCATCTAAGGTTATGTTAAGATTTCAGAATTAAACTTTTGTGCACATGGAAGAATTTCCATGGTTTGGGCACAAGTACAATGTACTACGCATCACTATCTGGACACCAAGAAAAAAANTGAGAAAAAAATCGTTGAGAAGCAGTGAGAGTGGGTTTCCCTCGAAACGCAATGAGTTCAGTCTGCGGAGTTAGCTGTATAGCTATGTCACTTTGGCCATTGAGCAGCAATATGGGATGAAGGTTTTGTGCTGATAAAATAAAGGTGTGGCATAAATCTGTGCAATGTAAACTGTGTATTCGTGTGGCTATTGTTACGAATGGGATTTGTGGTTAAGTACAGCCTGGAGTATCCTAGTTATTCATGGTCTTGTTGCTCGGTGGATCAAATACTATTGGTACAGTACATCAGTCACCTTGTGTAAAATGATAATTTTGTTATATAACTAATGTCTGAGGAACAATGTATAGGAAGCATACAAACATGCTGGGGCACATAGTGGTTGGATTCACCAGCTGTGATTGCTCACACAGCGAGGTTTGAATCATGCCCTCAGGAGGAGGAGTCAAGCAGAAACCAGAATCTTTCACACAAGAGAAAAAGAAACAGACGTGGAAGTCTAAATCCTCTAAATCCCTAAAATATAAACTTAATGAATGTAAAATTCAATTCACAACTGTTCGTGGGACACTACTGTGTGCAATTGGCTGCCTTGTTTCACCCACAAAATACACAGTTAATCCCCTTTACAATGTATTCTGTGAAGCACTTTGAGACATCTCAACCACATGATAAGGCACTATATCAAATGCAAGGATTATTAAAAGTCACCTCCTGGCAGCAGAGACATAGGAACAGGGCACCTCCTTGCTCTTCCCGACACCTTAAAACTAGCTATCAATCGCAGATTATTAAATAACCCCTTCTAAAATGATAAATGATAAAATAAGCCATGTTGAATAAGCAATGGCCCTTTGTTGAAAAGGATAATTGAAAGTTGAGGTTTCATACCAATGTCAATTCCTCGGATGAGTTTGTCTTTGTCAGAGTCACTGCCAATCAGGTCTTCCACCCAGTGTATGTAGTTGAGCCGTAAAGGGACAGTTGGGATCAATCTCTCCAACGGAATATCGATGGTCAGTTCAAAATCCTCCTTTAGTAAAGTGCAAGTCAGAGCTCTGACTGCCTCGGGGTCTTTAAAATTTAAACTGGAAACAAAGGAAGGAAAAAAGGTGTTAAAAAAAAAGGAACAATTTCAATCGAGCTCAAGGTGCAAAGGGAACCTTGGTTTTGTTGTCAACTGTTACACAGAATTATGCTCAGCTCTGATGCTTGCCCAAGTCATAGAGCCAAGATGCATTCACTGCCTGGGCTCAAACATAAAGAAAGATTATTTCACAAGGTGCCGGAAGCCTGCCAGTGCCTGTGGATATTAGAGCATAAGTCATCACAATGCAACACATTACATTTACACAGCACCTTTCACGTCGGGAGGAAGAGTGAATCCATATGGTTTTAATTTATTTTTAAACAGTGAACGGCGGCGCCTCCCTTTAACTGGACGTGAATCATTTCATATGTTTTTGAAGTACTCGGTTCGATGCACAATAACCTACTCAGTCAGTCCCACATCCCTCAGAGCAGCTGGAGTGACAGACATAATATTAAGTCAGTTTCATCCATCAGTGTTCTACATATTGTCTGGGGTCCCATTGCAGATAGGCAGGAAGTGCAGCTGCAGATTACTCAAACCAACTCCAAGAAAAGTACCCTTCGACTCGCTCCCTCCCTCGCCTCCTTTAAGGCACGTCTCAATAATCCCCTTTTCAACCACTCTCCTATCGTCCCTGCCCTCCACCTTCCCTGATCCCAACCCTCATGCCCGCTTGGGTCCAAATTCCCGACCGTCTATCCTCCCGACCTATAATTTTGTATTGTATAGTTCTGAGAACATAGCAGGAGTCTTACCCCTGTAAAAATACTGAGCTAGTGGTTAGCAGCAACAGAACCACAATGTTAGGGTCTTCCTCATCAACAACACCAATTAGTGATCCTGCTTCTTAAACTGAAGGTGCACCTCATTTATATAAATTGGCATATTCAGTTTGGTTATGGGAACTAGATTCTGCTACAGACAGAAATAGAGAATTTCCATTCCTTGACGAATGTAGACACTCAGTAACGAATGAAACAAGTCTGTTATTTGATCTTAAATGTCAGCACTGAGTGCAGAATACACCAAGTAAGCACACACCCCAACTTCATCTTTGCAGTGTTGCATTCAAAGTATAATCAGCCTTACATTATGTGAAAGAAGTTGACTTGCTCATGACATGGTGAGCATTTCATTTGAATTCTACTCAAATTAAAAGGAAAAATTGCACAGAGGCTAGAAATCAGAATTGGAAGTTTAAATTACAACCAATTTGATCCTGTTCAGAAAAAAAAGAGCTTGTCAACAGTGTGTCTGTCTTCAGCAGTGAAGAAAACATTTGAAATGGTTATGAAGGCAGACTCGCATTAAATTCTGCATCAGAAAGAAGGTCAAAATAAGAATTCAGGCACCACAGTGTAATTGTAATTTCAAGCAACATTCTAACTAAAAACACATTTCTCATAACAGCAGCACCCTACACAGCTCGTAGGGCTCCACACATTTATATAATCAAACTATCTGGACTGTAAAACACTTTATTCAATTTTTATTACATTGCTTCACTTTATTATTAATAGGCAATTTCAATCACATACAAGTACGATAGGTTGGATTAACATTTACACTGATATTTCTGTATTTCAGATATTATCAATATCTCAGGGCCTAAAAGGCGTCACAGCTATAGCTTTGCAAACATTAACCCTCAAAGTTTAGTCTGAATACAAATCTTGCATTTAAAAAGATGGAGAAGGTTGCTTTACTACAAAACAAGCATCTCACATAGGGACATTTTCATTTTTTTTGTAATTTTTTTTTCTTCTGCAGAACAAGAATGCCACTGTCAAAAGGGTGGGGCAGTCCGGACGGACTGCAACATACCATCACAGTGGCCATCAACACCACATGCTTGTTTGAGGAAGGAAGGTGAGGTGATCGCTCCCCTTTCGTTTTGCTCTCCATCACCCGGAATAATTAAAAGGTGAACTAATCCATCTTGTTAGAGGCAGATGTGCACAAACTTTAGACGAGACTAATTATTAGTTTAGCGTGCAACCGGGTGGCAAATTCGGTGATATTCGATATGCGAATCAGACATCTGTGCTGCTGGCAGACACAAAGCCCTGTAAAAATATCACTAGGCTCCAAGGTGACAACAGCAATGCATTGTAGCTAACGAATCAAAGCTTTGCAAAAGATAAAAACAGAAGACATTTCATTACAGAATTTTGATAAAAACACGGTACATTTAAAATCTTTGCTAGTGATTTCTGGATTGATAGGAAATTTACCTTAGTGAATTCTGAAAGAACTGTAACTTAATAAATAGTGCGGACTTCAGTACTTAACCTGGATTTTTAATTATTAGCATTTCTAAAATCAGTTGTCAAGAAATCACAGCAACATCTCCAGTTCAAATCTACACGTTCTTTTGCCATGTTAGCTGATGTCAGCTGAGGCAATGGTGTATTTGCCTCAACTCCCCTGGGCAAGGGAGGAGGAAGAGAGAAAACAAGTCAAGTGAGAGTTACTCAATCATTATTCCTGCTAAGAAAGAACTTGCGTGGATAATGCATGGGGGTGATATTGGGTTAAGCGCTCTGAGACGCCGTCCAGCGTGGAGGGTGCTATATAAATTCAAGTTGTTGTTGTTGTTGAGACGCCGCCCGGAGTGAGGGGCGCTCTATAAATGCAAGTTGTTGTTGAGGGCAGGAGCAAGCCGAATAATGTTATGGCCCCGGCTATAAAGTCTAAAAAAAACAATTTGGGTGAGCCAGGTGGCAGGAGCTGGAATTTTATAACCAATAGAGGGAAAAAATAATCAAACCCCCTCCCTCGAGAGGAAGGAAATAAAATTGGAAGAAAAAACACAGCACGAGAGAAAGAGAGAGAGAGAGAGAGACAGGCAGACAGAGACAGACAGAAAGAAACACAAAAGGATGGATCGTTTTAGGTAATCTCTCACAGCAGAAACTGCAGATTTAAGAAATTAATGTGAGATTAATTAACTTGATAATGAACACATTTTCTGTAAAGAAGATAATCTTGACTATTAATTACTTTTAATAATTAATATTTCTTGCTCCAATTTCCATTCTGCAAACTGCTGCTGGTGCACTCTTCCACAGATTCCTTCCAGTCGTTCCGCTTCAAAATGTGAACAGTTTATCACAGGCCATTCTACCCCATCAACATGGGTGAGAACTGATGAAGATCCCGACGACTGTGGCTGCCATTCGATTCAAATCCAAGGCCACTGGGTCATGCAACAAACATTCTTCACACTGCACTACCAGGTTGCCCTTGTTCAGTTCATTTGGTGATCCTTTTTGTAGTGTAATTCTAACCTTGTCAGAAAGAATCACTCACTCATTTGGTAACTGCTGATCTCAAGAGATAGAATTTATTAGGTTTTGAATCCTATTATATTCGCTCTATAGAAATTAGTTCTCAAACAGAAGACATTTCCTGATGCCCGTCTCAAAGACCAAATACACAGTCGGGAGTTTTTCATTGACATTTTACTTCCACCCCAACACAATATTCAAAATCCATTCAACAGCACATTTCCATAGCTTTCACAAAGAGCAAACAGCAATGAATGATACTTTTGAAACGTCATTGTGACACATGGATAATCTTTGGCAAAACATGACAAGAGAAAGCTCCCAAATCTCAAGAGTGACAATGGCACGAAGATCGCATTTGAAAATTGTTCTTTCGTGGAAATGGGAATCACAGTTAAGTTGTGAGGTGTTTGTATGCTTGACAGAATCTGAACATGGGATCAAAGTAACTATGATCTGCATTGTGCCACGGACATTGGAACAAGACTAAAGAAAGCTGCAGACCAATGATAACAAAAATCTGGAAGCGGCTAAAATAACTAACAAGATTTGAACACAGTGCTAAGAAACCAAAATGACTTTTAAAAATATACTCCTCTCTCCTTACATTAAAACATTCTCCCTTCAGGGTCTGACTCTCTATGCCACAGTGGGTAAGTACAGAATTAGCTATATAACCAGGACAGGAAGATTCCTGGGTTGATTCTTGTTTTGAGTTATTCAGATGTAATATGTAATATCAATCCTAACAGCAACATTCCAGTAATTCCAATAGCAACTGTTAAGAATACATTATTACATGGTTAGCAGTCATACCACTACACAGTTCTGAAAAAAAAGCGAAGATATTTCAGACAAATGCTGCAGAACTGCAAACCTTTGGGAGCTGGGGTTATTATCAGGCATGAGGATCACTGTATTGTCCTTTACATTTTATGGAAATGGGATTTGTCAGAATTAAAATGTCTACTGTAGCCACTGTTCATTTGTGAAACTGTTCAGAATCTCTTGTTCTCCTTAACGATGGCAGCAAGCAGATTTTATTGTGAGAACAGGGATGAAGATAAGTTGTGATAGCTTATCTTCAGTGACCAACTTTCTGGGATTCATTTACTTGTCCAGAAATGCAACTGTTGATGCCTCCTTTCAAAGCTTGACATTGTTGTGCAATCAGTGGCATTATATTTCAGGATGGAGATATATAGAAGCAAAGTGTGAATGCCGTAATAATAATAATAATCCTTGTATTTGATATAGCACTTTTCACGTCTTCTAGACATCTCAAAGCGCTTCACGGAATATACTGTAAAGTGAAATGACTGTATATTTTGTGGGTGAAACAGTAAATCTGAAAATAAAGAGAGAAAATCTTGAAAATGCACCCCAGGACCTAGCAGACAAAGATAAATGAATGCTGTGTGAAGATTTGGTGGAGGGTGGCATCCCAAAAGTTAACATAAATTGGAATTTTATGTTCGATTCTTCTTTAAATAGCTGACTGACCTGCTGTGGATTCCTGCCTTCATTTTAAATTTTCTTTTCTCTTTGAGTATGCAACAATTTTGCAGCAAGGAAAACAACTATTCTGTTCTGGAATAACTGAACGTTACATTTCTTCTTAGGAATGCAAGTTTGGAATGCTATTCCTACTCAGTTACCGTGTAGAGACGACAAGAACAAAATACAAGTTTTCATTAGACAATGA